CGGAGAAAGTCAACTCAGTTTCACACAAGTCTTTCTTGCACTTAATTGTTATTACTGACAAGAAGTATTTGACTTGGATGAGTAGCTGCACTGATGCCAAAACACATTATGTACAGAGAATATGAATTGCTAGCAGATTTGACCTACGCTGGAATCTTTCCACTTAATCGGCTACATGTAAAAACACTAAAAGTACCAGCGTCAAATTAATTTGGATGGCTTAGTGTGATGAGCATGAAAAAAACATAATTAATAAATTATTAATAAAAATGTAGAGGACTCAGTTTTATGCTTTGTGCTTTTATTTTCCCCTCCCGTCTTAGGCGCTCGTCGATGTGGGGCATCGGGTATTCGTCCAACTGTGACCCCTCATTCACCTTTCGGTAGGCGACACATCTTTCTTTACCACAAGAACTACTACTCTGGCCCCAACTCATCTCTTTCTTTAACCAGGCTCAGCTCCACAGCTTTATCATACTTAATCCGCACCAACAACTAGGTGAGTTTTTCGTGCTTGTGAGTGTCGCGACTCCCTCTGTACAAACTGTCCCTAATCAATTCAAAATGTGGGAATGTCTGTGCTGCTACAGGGCACGCAGTTTGACCATCGATTTCAATCACTTAGTCAAAGATTGAGTGTAGCGTGTCATCACGAGTCTGTTCTAGTGGAAATCTGTGGAGTGGGTTACTGGGACTGACAGCACCACCAGTAAAGACCCCACCATTCCCTCCTCCACAGTCATATTCAGGCAACCCTGCATCAAACTCTGGATGTGCCTACCAATCGTGAACACGCCTCCACACACTGGGTTCATTAATGTACTGAACCCTGGCCAATTCACTCCCAAAATTAAGGGGTGTGTCCACCCTAGGCTAACCCTGGCCTTCAGTTTATGCGTTTTCTCTGATGCTTAATTTCCACTGGCACTAGAGGATACAGTGGAACCCCGACTTACGAATACCCCATTTAACGAAAAATTCAAGTTACGAAGGCACTTAACGGCAATATTTCTGCCCGTGTTACGGCAAAATGCCCACATAAATCTGCTGGCTCTGATTGGCTGAGCCCAGAATGCCTACAATGCCCACAATGCCTTCCGAATCATGTGACAACCCCCTTGGCTTTCGTACTTGCGCTTCGCTGTTCCACTTGAACGACGTATTGTTGTTGCAGTTAGCAATTAGCCTATAGCCTATCGTTCACTCAAAAGGCGCGATGGGTGCTATGACTTACGAATATTTTCGACTTACGAAAGACCCTCGGGAACAAATTCATTTCGTAAGTCGGGGTTCC